AATTTTTTTTTATTTTTTTAATTTTTTTTTTTTTTTTTTTTTTTTTTTCTTTTTTACTAATATGAATGTAAAAAATTATTTACCAATATAATATACATACCTTATTTTTTTATTCAAATATAACTAGTAACTCTTTTTATATTTCACTTGTTTTCTATATAATTAATATTCTTTGTATTTATATGACATAAATTTTTATTAGATATTAATTTTAAGAATTAAAATAAGATATAAAAAAAAAAAAAAAGAAAAGAAATTCTAATATTCCAAATAAAAATAAAAAAATAAAGAGAATCCTCCTTTTTAGAAATATTTTTTTAAAAGATGTTATAAATACATTAAAGTTCTTTCTTTAGTATTTCTCTAAGGAATTTAAACTTTTATATTTTATTTTATTATTTTTTTTTTTTTTTTTTATCATATTTTAAGTCTTTTTATCATTAATCTTTTTATATAAAATATATATATATATATATAAATAGAAAAAGTTTATTTTCTTTAAATAAATTAAATAAAATTATTGTACCAGTAATCAAGACAATATTATATAATTTTTTTTAATAATTTCCTTCATCTTTTTTTCATTTAAAGATGTCAGATATTAAAGACACAAAATATGATTTAGGATTAGATATGACAGTAGATGATCAAAAAAAAATTGGTAAATTTACTAACTTACATTATAAACAATCCGTTTATGAACAAAAGATAAAATTAATGAAAGAAAATTTAACAAATCTTGATTCATCTATAGACGAAGTATCACTTTTATTTGACTCAAAAGATGTTATGCTAAATATAGGTATATTCAAAAAAAAAAAATAATTTTTTTCTTTTTATAAAATATTTCTTTGTGTAAAAAAAAAAAAAAAAACACATTTTTTAATTTTCTTAAATTAATAGGGGATTGTTTTTTTAGATTTGACACAGATTATGTAGAAGAAAGTTTAACAGAATTTAAAAATGAAGAAAAAGAGAATTTAAGTAAATTAGAAGCTGACTATAAAACTACATTAAATGAAAAACAACAATTAAAAACAGATTTATATGCTAAATTTGGTAATAGGATTGATCTTAACTAATAACATTAAATATACTTATATGCAAAATTTAAATAATTAATTTGTATTCATATAAGAAATATAAGAATAAATTTTATTAAGAAATTAATATTTCCTTTTTAAATTTCATTTTCATAAAAATCTTTATTATATTTCTTTTAATTTTAAAAGAATATAAAAAAAAAAAAAAAAAAAAATATACATTTTTTCTGTTAATAGTTGTTTTTTTTTTTTTTTTTATATATAACAAAATTATTTAAATATTTTTTATTTAATAAAATTACATATTTTTTCTAAACAAAAATAGATTTATAATTTATATAATTGAATTTGTTTGCTTATTTTTTTACAAGGAAAATTTTGATTTTATAAATAGTGTTAAATTTTTTTTATTTTGTTATGTATTTTACATAGTAACATGATTCTACAAAAAGAATCCTTTAAAATACATTAACTCTTAAAAAAATACATAAATATAAATATATATATATATAAATAATAATTTTAAAATTAAATTTAAAACTCTAACATATAAAAATGGTTATTTATAATACTTTCCATTTGATTTTTTTTTTTTTTTTTTTTATAAATAAAAAAGAAAATTATAAAGTGAAATATATATAAAATTTTATATTCTCATATTTTATAAAGTAGGCAAAATAATTTTATTTACTTAATAATATTAATTTATTTATTGTTTTATTAAGTATTTAAAAATACCATAAAGAAAAAAAAAAAAAAAAATTATACTTTAAATATGATAAAACTTTTGTGAACAATTTTAAAAGTTTGTTACTACCTTCTAAATTATATTTTAATTCTTAATAATATTTTCTTAAAATTTCTTAAGGAATGTTAGATGAGTACCAAAAAAAATAATTTATAACTTATGTTTCTTCTTGTTAAAAAAAAAATTGTAAAAAATATTAAATTTAAAACAATATATTTAACTAAAAAAAAAAAAAAAAAAAAAAAAAAAAAAAAAAAACAGTTCATTAAATCATAAAAAAAGAAAATCCTTACACATTGTAAAAATTTAGTTTCTGTTGATATGTGTTCAATTTGATTTAATTAAAATTAAAAAATAATTCCAAAAAATATAGAGAAAAAATGAAAAAAAAAGGAGATTTTGTTACAATAAGATACATTCAAGATGTGCGATTAGAAAACATTAATTTTCATATGTATATATTTATGTGAAATGAGAAATATTTATCACTAATATAATGTATATAATTATATTTGATATACTAAAAAAAAAAAAAGTTTACTTTATATATGAAATAAAATCTTAAGGTATCACAAAAAATTAATTTTTTTTTTTTTTTTAAATACTATATATAAAATTTTTTGTGACAATTTTTTTGATGAAATAAAAAATTTTTATATAAAAATAAAATTGTAAATACATACTTAAATATATATATAAAAAAAAAAAAAAAAAAAAAAAAAAAAATTTNNAAAAAAAAAAAAAAAAAAAAAAAAAAAAAAAAAAAACCAAAAAAAAGTAAACAAATATATCATTTTTTCATATATTTTTTATTAGATAAGTAATGATATGATAATTTTGTTTATACTTTTTTTTACAACTATTTTTAAGAAATCTTTTTAAAAATTTGACTTTTTTGTTTCTTTTTTTAAATTATTTTTATTTAAAATAAATTTTTTTTTTTTTTTTTTTTTTTTTTTTTTTGCTTACAAGAAAAAAATAATGTATAATATTCTCTATTAATTAAACAAAATAATATTACTGTGCAAACGTAGAAGTATTTATTTAATAAAAGTTGAAAAAATAAAAAAAAAGGAAATATAAATAAAAAGGGAACTATTAATATATATACATTTTTATTTATTTTTACATGCTCCTGTAGTATTAAATTTATAATTTTTTGTAGAAATATGTGTATTTCAGATTTGCCTTTTTTTTATTTTAATGGAATGTAGTTTAAATTACATATGTAAATATATTTTCTTTTTTTTTTTTTTTTATCCCTTTTTTTTTATTGTATATATAATTTTCCATTACTTTATAAATTAAATTTGGTTTTTTTGCTTATTTTAAATAATGATAAAAGATAAGTTAATTATTGATAACATTAATTATAAAGTTATTAATAAAGGTGAGGTAAATGATGAACTAATTAAAATTTGTGAATTAAAAGATTATACAAATAAAAGTGAATATATTAATAATGAATTATCAGATAAATTAAATGAAATAAATGATTTTAGAAATAAAAATAATTCCAACAAATTTTCATTAAATAATATTAATTCAAATAAAGATGATTTAAATAAAAATTCTTTATACTATTCAAAAAGAAATGATTCAAGTAGTGATATATATGAAAATAAATTTCTCAATACTGTTCGAAAGGTAGATTTTAATAATAATGTAATAAATATGATTGATATGACCAAAAATAATTGTAATTATAGTGGTAATCATAACAATAAGTTGAATGTAAGTAGAATTGTTGAAGATTGCAAAATGAAAGAAAATAATTTAAATGAAATTTCAACCAAAAGCAAATTAAATAACTCTAATAAAGTCATTTATAACAATTTTAATAAAATTAATAATGATGATATATATAATAAAGATAATTATAAATATGATGATAATAGTAATGTAAATTTTAATTCATATATGGATAATGAACATACTAATTTTGAAGAATCTTTATTTTTAAATACAAGAGAAAAAAATCAAAAATTTTTATTTGAAGATTATAATTTTCATAATAATAGAAAAATAAAATTAGGATGCAATAACACTAATGAAAATTTAAATCTTAATAGGAAGGAAGATTCAGAAAAACATAACTTGAGCATTTATAGTAACAAAACGCGTATAGTTAAAAAACAGAATATTATAGAGAATTTTAAAAATTTCACCAATGATACAATTATAACAGCTTTGAATAGCAATATGAAAAATGAAGATTATTCGGAATTTTTTTATATAAATAATGATAAAAAGACTGAACAAAAAAAGAAAATAAAATTAGATAAAGAGAATGAACAAAAAAAACAAATGCAATTAGATAAAGAAAAAGATCAAAAAAAAAAAATTAAATTAAATAAAGAGATTCTAAATGTGTACACAAGTAATGGTAGCACACCAGTAAAAGATTTAAAAGAAACAAGTAAAAATAAAAAAGAAGTATCAAAAGAAGAAGAAATTCTGAAGTTATTTGAAAAAAATTTAGATAAATATGAGTTCATTAGTATAAATAAAAATTTATTATTTCTTAAAAAAATGCAAAAATATTTTTATAGAAAATATATTAACATTAAATTTTTGAATGATACAAATAATTACTATTATTTTATACATTTAGAATGGTTTAATAAATTTAAAAATTTTCTTTTTAGTGATTCTGATATTTTTCCGGGTTATATAACAAATTACAAATTGTATGATTTTAATGAAAAAGAACTTTTGCATGAAATTTGTATAAATAAGGATAACTTGAAAAAAAATTTAAAAGAAGGAAAGGATTATATTTGTACTAATAAATATATGTGGAGATTTTTGAATTTTTTATATAGAGGAGGTCCATGTATTAAAAGAAGTAGCAATAATATTTATGATAATTTTATATCAATTTCAAATAATGATACAATGAATAAAAATATTATTTATTTAATTGAACCAAAATATGTAGAAAATTTGTTTGCATTATTTGATTATTCGGATGAAAATATTAATTTTAGTATAGCAAATAAGAGTACACATAAAAATGATGATTTAATTTCTGACATTTCTAGTAATATAAATAATTTTTTAGATGATAAAAATGAAGAAAAAAAGAAAAAAACAGAGAACAAAGCACAAGGGAAAAAATTCGCACATAGTTATTTTGAATTTTTAGATTTTTACAATTTAAAAGAAAAAGAAAAGAAAAACTATTTTTATATTGAATATGATGACTCTAATAAAAAAATTATGAAAAAAATAATGAAAATAAAGAATAAAAGATTTGATGACTCATTTCATTTTTATTCGGATGAAGGTAGTTTAACTAGTGAAAAAAGTTTTATTAATAATATAAATAATATAAATAATAGAAATATTGAAGATGAGTATGATATTAATAAGAATGAGGCTAATATAAAGAAAGAAAATATAAATTATAATATAAATTCAAATTTAAATATATCAGAATTTGTATCTGAAGAAAATTTTAATAGTTATGATGCATCTAAAATACAAAACATAACAAAAAATAATTATATTAATTATGAATTTTATGAAATAGATAACAAACAAAAGGGAATTGGAAGAAGTAATAACAATTATAATAATAATAATGGTATTAATATGAGTTTTAGTAATAATAATTGTAACATAAATAAAAATTATATGAATTATAATATACCATTCAAATATTCCATAAATCAGGATAATAATGATAATAGTAGTAATGATAACAATTACATTAAATATGATAAGAATAATAACTATAATAGAAATAACATTTATTATAATAATAATAACAATAATAATAATAACAATAATAATAACAATAATAATAACAACAATAATAATAATAATAATAATAATAACAATAATAATAATAATAACAACAACAACAATAATAATAATAATAACAATAATAATTATAATAATAACAACAATAATAATAACAATAATAACAATAATAACAATAATAACAATAATAACAATAATAACAACAATAATAACAATAATAACAACAATAATAACAACAATAATAACAATAATAACAACAATAACAATAATAATAATGATAAAAATAATGATAGAAATAATGATAAAAATGATAAAAATAATGATAAAAATAATGATAAAAATAATGATAGAAATAATGATAAAAATAATGATCCTTATAATTGTTTTATACGTGGTAATAATATGTATTCTAATAGTTTTAATAATTCTGATAATCTAAATAATGATTATAATATAAATCAAAATAATATTTATAAAAATAGTAATAAAAATGTAAATTTAAATGAAAAAAACATAAATGATTTGAATAAAATTAATATAAATAACTCAAAAAAAAAGAATTCTGTCCATTGTTATTCATCAAATGGCAATGATATCTATAAGTCCTGTGAGGAATATTATGGTGATCATGGTAAAATTTCAAGTAATGGATATTTAACTACTACTGAAATGGAATCAAAAAGTACCAATGAAAACACTGCTAAAAGTTCTTTTGATGAAAAAAATGAGAATATATTAAGGAATATAGATAAAAGTAAAATGTATCATGATTTAGAAGAAAATATACAAGAAAAAACAAAAAAAAATAAAAAAGATATTTATCCTAATAAAGCCAATAATTCGAATTTTATGAAAAGTGGAAATTATGAAGATACTGAAATATCTAGAAATAATAATTTTTTATATACTAATAATATAAATGCAAATAGCAATGATTATAAGGATGATATTAAAAATGGTGAAAAAGAAAAACAGGAAATGAAAGTTATATTAAATAATATAAATAATGAAAAATCTTTAGGTGAAAACAAAAATAGACTATTAATAGATAAAGAAAAACAAAACAAAAACAATAATATAAAAAATCCCTTGAATAAAATGATGTCAATAACAAATAACAATATCAATTCCAATAATTTAAGTTTAAAAGATGAGAGTAGCAATTCAAGTAATAGCAGTAGTAGTAATAGTAGCAGTTGTAGTAATAGTAGTAGTAATGATAGTTGCTATAATCAAACAGCTTCAGATTTTAACCATTGCAATAATAGAGAAAATGTAATAAATATATCACATAATAATACTAAAAGAGAAAATGAATTACTTAACAGTATTAATTCTATTACAACAAAAGAACACCCAGCAGGAATTATAAATTATTCTACTACCTGTTATATTAATGTTGTAATGCAATGTTTATCCGTTTTCTTTAAATTAATTTATACATTACATAATTATGTAACAGCTAAATATAAAAATGTAAACTTCTCAAGTGATGATACTGATAATATGAATTCATCTTTTATAAATAAAAATTTTTTTACAAATAGTATTCCTTTTAATCTATTTGGAAATAATAATAAAAAGAAAGATGAACGTTTGTTGTTTATGTTTTCATATAAATTATTTCAATTAAGTAAAATGCATAATAAAGGAAAAGTATTATGTGTGAATAAATTATTAAATTTATTAAATGATAAATATTCTTATTTATTTGAATATAATGAGCAACAAGATTGCCATGAATTTCTTCTTTTAGTGTTTGATTTTATTCATAATATGATGAAAATAATTGATGATTCAGTAGATAAAAATAATCAGATAGAATACTATTTGAAAAAAGAACAATCTATCATATATGATCTCTTCTTAGGACTCATAGAAGAAAAAATTACTTGTTCTCAATGTGAATATGTTAATTATATATATCAACCAATTTATAATTTAAGTGTAAATATTTTTAAAAAAAATCCAGAAAATAAATTAAATGATAATTTAGTAGAATATTTTAAAAAAGAAGAAGTTAATTCAACATGCGAGAAATGTAAATGTAAAAAAATGTTTAAGTTTTGTTGTGTGTATAAACAACCAAATATTCTTATTATTCATATGATTCGTTTTTTAGGAGATGGATCAAAAATAGATAAAAATATAAAATTTGATATTAATAACTTTTCAATTCAAAATGTTTTAAAGAAGAAAAATAATCAATATATTGAAAGTCCTAAAAAATATAATTTATGTGGTGTTATTGTACACAGAGGTTTAAATGCAAATTGTGGTCATTATATATGCTACACTAAAAGAAAGCATTCTAATGGAATTTATATGGTAAAAAAAAAAAATATATATATATATACCCATATTATTATTTATATATTTATATATATTTATATATATACCCATATTTTTATTTATATATTTATATATATTTATATACATTTATATATTTGATATTTTGTTAATTTACTCTTTAATGCTTCCTTTATCAAAATTTAATATATATTTGTTTGCTTTGATTCTTTGTATTAATATTATCATTTTTTTTTTTTTTAGTGGTATAAATTTGATGATAGTACGGTATCTGTTGTAGATGTTGAAGAAGTTGAATCATCCAAAGCATATTGTCTTTTTTATCAAAGCCAATAATTCATTATTATATATTTTTTTTTTTAAAGTTATATAATTTGAACATTTTTTTTTTTTTTATATTTCTATTTTTATATCTTTCTATATAAATTTTTTTTTTTTTTTTTTTTTTTTTTAAACCGATTTTATATTTATTTTTCTCCATTTTTTAAACCATGTTGATTTTATTTCTAATTATATTTAAATTATACATTATTTTTTTTCATGATTTATTTGAACCTTCGTTTTTCTTTCACTATTTTCTTTTTTTCATAAATAATAAATTATATAGCAAACTTTAAATAAAATTTTTTTATAATAATAAGAGAAAGTTAAAATCTATATTTAAAAAATTATATGTTAATTTTTCTAAAAAAAATAGTTGACTTGAAAAAAAAAAAAAATTTTCATATATATGTCTACATAAAAGACATAATAAATAAAGTGATATAAAAATTTGAACAAAAAAGTTATAAAAAAAAATTTGCAAAAATATTGAAAAATTTTTCAGAATTTATATTTTTATTAAATTTTTACATTAACATATATGTAAAAATACAATTTTCTAAAAAAAAAAATAATTCTGAAAATTTTAATAAAATAAAGGAATAAACATTTTTAATATTTTACAATTTTAAGCATAATAATATATATAAAAAGAAAATTTGCATTTAATACAAATTTTCTGAATGTTTTTTTTTTTTTATTTTATTTTTTTTTTTTAGTAAATCAATTTTTCATTGACATTTTCTTTAAAACTTTCGTTAATATTTTCTTTATGAAAATTTTCTTCTTCTAATTCATTTTCATCATCATCAGATTTATCTTTTTTTATTTTTATATTCATTTTTATTAAGTCCTTAAATATTTTGGAAAATTTAAAATGAGGCATATGGCTACTTTCTATATGAATATCTTCTTTTGTTCTCATATTTTTAATACATCTTTTTTTTCTAAAAACATTATAATATACTCCAAATTTGTGAATATAAATTTTTTCATTATTTTCTAAATGTTTATAAATATTATCAAAAATTCCATTCATTATTTTTTCAACCGTTTTTTTGTTTTCCTTTGTTTCCATTGAGACTTCTTCTATAATTTGTTTTTTTGTAATTACCTAAACATATTATATAAAAAGTAAATTTAATTTTAATAAAATTCAAGTTTTATGTATTTTCTTTTTCTTTTTCTTTTTTTTTTTTTTTTTTTTTTTTAACCTGTGATACGGGAACTTTAGAGGAAGACTGATATAATACATTTTTATTATAAGGATTACTAACACTAATTTTTTTGTTTATAATATTGTTCTTATGAACATTAATAAAGGCTTTACGTGAATAAACTATTTTAAATATGAAAAAAAAAAGATATAATGCAGCGTACATCTTAATATATTTTTTAAAATAATAAGAAAAATTAATTATTATATATATTTATGTAAATTTGTATATTATTCATTTCAGTTACAAATTCTTATTTCTGTATATCAAACATATGAACATTTTATATGTATATAATATTTATTCTTTAAAATTATTCTTTTTTTTATATTTTTAAAAAAATAAAATAATAGAATAAAATATTATTTCCAATCATCTAAAAACACATAAAAAAATATATGGATACTTTTAATTTCTTTTTATAAATATTTAAGAATATTAAAAAAAAAAATTAAAAAATGTAAACATTTTAATTTAAAAATATTTTTCATTATAAAAAAAAAAAAAATAAAATAAAATAAAAACGAATCTTTTTTTTTTTTTTTTTTTTTTTTTTTTTTTTTATTTTTAAAAAT